TTATTATTAATTATTTTTATTAAGTTTAAAAAAAAAGAGCGCCACGTCAGCAGCCACGTCAGCAGACCCAGTCAGCAGTCCTGGCCAACCAGGACCTGCCACGTGGCAAGACCACGTCGACCGGAGATGGGGCACGTTGGCGATCCGCGTACGCGCGATCGGACGGCCCAGATCAAGCGTGCGCACGGACGGCTCAGATGCAATCGCACGGACGGCCCAGATTCAATCAAAAACGGACGGCCCAAATTAAATCAAAATGGACAGCTGAGATCAAAAGGCAAAAGGGTATAAATAGAACCCCCACACCTGACCACAAAAACCCTAGCCGCCTGCCCTCGCTGGAGAAGCCGACCGCCGCCACCCACCGACGCACCGGGGAGATTTTCGACCGCCGATCGAGGTAAATTTCATACCCCCGACTCATTTTTTCACGCTGATTTCCCCTGCGGCCAAATCGAAGCCGAAACCCAGCGGTGCCGCCGTGTCCCTCCTCGGTTTTTGCCTCCGATGAGGCCCTTCCCGGCCTCCGTTTGATGCAATTTTTATATCACCGTGATCACCACTCTTTTCTCTACAGGTTGATCGGAGCCGAATCACTAAAACACGAACCTCACCGGAGAGCTGCCACACCCGAAAGCACCGCCGCCGGTAAGCTTCGATTTTTCGTAAGTTTTTTGGCCCCCCGAAGGCCCTAGGATTGTTTTATCGTAGGGACCGATGCAAGTGTGGCCGAATTCGGCCGAAAACGGCCAACCCGAGGTAAATTGCCGCCGCTTGCGGCGGCGCCGTCGCCGGAGCACGGCGGAGCCGCCGTGCCGGAATTGCGATATTGGCCAAAAAGGGGCCATGGGCCTAATTTGGGATTTTTTGGAACACGTGCAGATACCGGTAGTGCGTTTCAGTTCCCCGGAAAAAAAAATTCAGGAAAAATTAGGGACAGCCTGTAGACGCACTGTGAAGCCGTGTTCAGATCCCGAAACGAGTAAGGACCCCTCACCCTATTTTCTATCACGGTATTAAAGTTAAATAATGATAAAACGGTATTTCTTGAATCAACAAATGTGTAAAATTGCTTAAGGTCGCTAATGAAGCCCCAGTCTAGTGTGTTTGTCGGTTAACTGTTATTTAGCCTATTTTACAGTTTTAAATGCAGTATGAGGTTTGATGTTTTTATTTTATAGTTTCGTGTGCATATTTTACTGTTTTATTGATTATGGGTTGAATGACTGAGATACCGATGCTGTATGTTGTCTGTTTGGCATAAATTACTGTTTTGCTTGTTTGTATGTGAATTGATGATGCTGACTGAGGAAAAGGAGAATGAAAGATTATGTAGATTGATAATTGTATAATGTGGTCAGCCTGACTAGATATCCTGGGAGATGGTGGACGGACCAGGTCCGTAGGGAACCCTACCGGGATTGTGGTCTCTCATACCGGACGGGGTATGGAGACCCTATGTGTTTTGGCGTCCATACCGGACGGGGTATGGGGACGGCCCGTTTCACCCTCATACCGGACGGGGTATTGAGGTTTATAGTTTTGGCGCCCATACCGGACGGGGTATGGGGACGGCCCTGGAATCTGATTACAAGTGTTAAGGGTAACGGGTAGTGGGACCCCTATGGATCCCCATGGATACTAGTAGGTTGGTAAATGAGGAAAATATGTTGTGAAATGATTGAATTACAAAAAGGCGTGATAAATATTGTGTTATACAGTTTATATGATTTCATGATGATGATAATGTTATTGCCTTCGTATATTGTTTTATGAATTTCACCGAGGTAAGTGGATGGTAAAGGTTTTATTATTAATAAAATGATTTGTTGTAAATCATGCTCCATTGGTCTTTTTGTGTTTTTTACCCACCTTTACCTCCGTGACGGTGAG